CAAACATTTGACAAACAAATAAAAATGAAATTAATAAATAAAATAAAACCATTATAAAAAATATACACATAAATATTATGAAAATAATAAGTATATATAAAATTTTGAATGAAAAGAATTATAAATTAATATATGAATTTAATTTCTAATTAATAGAGACAAATTATAATTGATTTTAAAGCTTGACTAGATCCCCAACGGAGTCGCCAAGCTGTCGTAACCGGTTTTTGCTCGAGTACGAATTTTTACTTGGCAGGAAACTAAAATGAATAAATGGTTTATAAAATGTTTAGGGAGTCGCCATCGACCTTTTGGATCAGGTAGGTCGAATACATAAAAATTATCTTTTAAAAGAGTTTTTAAGAAAACATCAGTTAAAAGATAAACTGATCTGCGTTTTAACCAAAAAATTGTTCTTTTTAATAAAAAGGGATTCGTGGTCGATTACGTTTGGAATGATTAACACCCCACACGCCCAAAATTGGTACTTATTAATTATAAATTGTATCTATTATTGAAAATTTTAAAAATTCAATAATATTTAATTCATAATCCTATTATTTCAAATTTATTAATATAATTTTAAGAAAATATATTAATATATATATATCTTTTATTTTTATAAATAAGATATTTATTTACTTAGAAATATCAGAAAAGGACTTCTAGGTGCTTTAAGACAGTCAATTTCTTAATATTAAAAAATAAATAAATATTAATAAACATTTTTCTAAAATAATTAAAATAAATTAATATATATTTATAAAAATATGATTTTTTTTTTTGAGAATATCAGAAAATGACTTCTAGGTGCTTTAAGACAGCCCATTTCTTAATATTAAAAAATAAATAAATATAAAATATAATATTTTTCTTATAAATAATTATATAAAATTAAATTTATAAATAGGATTTTTATTTAATATAAAAATAAGTAAATAAATATTATTTATTATATATGTTTGTATGATTACATAATAATAACAATAATAATTAAATATATAAACATATAAATTTTAAATATAAATAAAAATAACTAAAATAAATTAACACTAAATAAAAAGTAATAAGACTTGTAATTAAATAAAAGCATTAAAATTAATGACTAAATTATAACATATTAAAATTAAATGCCTAATTTAGCTATTTAAAAATATAGTGGCTAAATATGTTATTTTACAATTTATTAACTTAGGGACTAAATAAATATATGTAAAATTCGGACATCAAATTAAATTAATTAAAACATGCTATTCGAGATTAAAATAAATATTAATTAGATGATAAGGGATTAATCATTATTTACCCTAAATATATAAACCTATACTAGAAAGGACTAAAATAAAATAAAATAAATTTCGAAGACTAAATTATAATGTTCATAAACTTGATTTAATGACTAAAATGAAAGGTTACAAAAGTATGAGTGTTGCGGAAAGGGTTTACCCATAATAGAAATTACATAAACACCTTCCCCAAAAACGACGTCGTTTGGGAGAATTCCTGAAAATATCCCCAAATCACCCTTTTTTTTACCCTAAGGCCGAATATGGCCTCTTTTTCCCCTAAAACCCTATAGATTTCCCTAGATCTAAAAGAGACCATAGGTATTACCTTCGGTTTTATATCAAATCCGGCGAACGGGGTAAGTTTCCTTTTATTTTCTTCTTGTTTTTCTTTTTGGCTTCTTGTTGACTGGGATCGTTGGTAGATTTTTGTTTGTATATTGTTTGCTGTCGATCTCTCATTTTTTTCTCTCTTGCGTCTATTGTTTACTGTTCGTGTCCTTTTCTTCTTGGCAGGATCGGTGGCTTTTATAGCCACCACCGATGCTGCTCTCGAACTGGTTACATGGAAGACTTTTGGTGAGTCACCATAGCTATGGTGGTGACTCACCATAGGGCTCGACGTGGGTGGCTTCGTGGCACTCTGGAGACTTCGTCGGAGGCGTTGTGGCAGCATGAGAGCGTCGCAGCATATGGTTGGGTCATCTGGCAGTGGAGTGTCGGTAAGGCGACTGGAAGCTTCTGGAGTCTTCAACAGAAGCTTGGCGTGGCAGCAGCGCTGGAGAAGTTGGCTGGGGCGGGTGGAGTCGTGGACCCTAGGGTGATTATCTGGAAGACTGTGGGTCGTTAGATCAAGCCAGATGCAACGGTGGAAAAAGAGCGGCGACTGGATGAAGATGTTGAAACCCTAGTTGGGTTTAGGGTTATGTAATTGGTCGGTTTTGGGTTTATGGGTATCCATTTGTAATTGGTTCTGTTCTCTGGGTCTGGTCCATTCTGATTGGACCGGTTCTATTGTAAACGGGCCTGTAATGTAAATAATAAATTTTTTGATTAATAATAATAAAAATATAATAATTATAATAATTATAATAATAAAAAATAAAACGGGCCAAAAATTTAGTGTCTACAAACATCATACGCTTTCTTTAGAACTGGGATTAGCGTACAAATTTTGCCAAAACTATTTCTTTTGACGTTGTTCCTTTTCTAAAATTTCTTTTGCCTTTTAGTAGCAGGGTTTACTTGTAGTCAGAAATGGCAGAGATGGAAATAAGCCCCGGGGAGAATAACAATCAGCTGGCGTTGATCACTCCCGAAACACAGCCTATGAAGCGTAGGAAAAAGAAGTCCATGGTTTGGGAGTACTTCACCATTGAAATTGTGAGTGGATGTAGAAATTGTAAGCGCTGCAAGCAAAGTTTTGCTTACCGCACTGGTTCCAAGGTAGCCCGTGCCAGTCATCTTAAACGCCTCATTGCCAAAGGAACCTGTCCGGCACTGTTACGAGGCCGAGATAACAATAAGATGGGTGGAAGTGAATCTCCGAAGTGGTGCTTCAGATCTTCTAGCACATCTTTTTTCCCGTATGATCAGGATCGATGCCGTCATGAAATTGCCAGAATGATCATCATGCATGAGTACCCTCTTCACATGGTTAAGCATCCTGGTTTCATAGCTTTTGTTCGAAATCTTCAGCCTCAGTTTGATAAAATGAGTTTCAACACCGTTCAAGGGGATTGCGTGGCGACGTACCTGAGGGAAAAGCAAAGCCTCATGAAGTTTATCAAGGGTATTCCTGGACGCTTTTGTCTTACACTGGACATGTGGAGTTCGAATCAAACGCTAGGTTATGTGTTCATAACTGGACACTTTGTTGATATGGACTGGAAATTGCACAGACGGGTTTTCAATGTCATAATGGAACCATATCAAGATTCGCATTGTGCTCTAATAATGGAACCATATCAAGATTCGCATTGTGCTCTAAGTGAAGCTCGGCTGGAAAATCTTCGACCTTTACTGTGCGTTAAGAATCCCCTTATTCTTAATGGTCAGCTGTTAATCGGAAATTGTATAGCTCATACTATGAGCAGCATGGCGAAGGATGTGCTTCGAGTAGGGGAAGAGGTCATCAAAAAAATCCGTGATAGTGTAAAGCACGTGAAGATGTCAGAATCCCACTACAATAAGTTCGTTCAAGTAAAGAACCAGCTTCAAGTGCCAAGCGAAAAGCTGTTTCTTGATGATCAAACTCAGCGGAACACAACAATCCAAGTGCTTGCAGCTGCTTCCGAATTGAAGGAAGTGTTTGATTGCTTTGACAGTTATGATCCTGATTATAAGCAAACCCCTCAGTGGAAGACTGAAAGCTGGCTGTGACTTTATGCAGTTTCTTGAAACCTCTGTTTGATGCAGCCAGCATCATTACAACTGCAATTCAACCTACTGCAGTTACATTATTTCATGAAGTGTGGAGGATACATGCGGACTTGGGTCGTTCTACTGCTAGTGAGGATCCCTTCATCAGCAACCTTGCAAAATCAATGCATGAAAAGATTGACAAGTACCGGAAGGATTGTAGCTTGGTTTTGGCAATTGCAGTAGTCATGGATCCTCGTTTCAAAATGAAACTTGTTGTGTTCAGCTTCACAAAAATATACGGCGAGGATGTTCCTGCGTATATTAAAACCGTTGACGGAATTCACGAGTTATTGAATACATGGCACTTTCACTTCCTTTGACACCAACTTATGTAGAAGGGAATGCCTGAGACAATGGAATGACCGACGAATCTCACCAGGGAAATCTTCTTTCAGACCACGGGCTTACAGATTTTGATGTCTACATTATGGAGACTAGTAGCCAGCAGATGAAGTCTGAGCTAGATCAGTACTTGGAAGAGTCGTTGTTACCCCACGTCCAAGAGTTCGACGTGTTGGGTTGGTGGAAGGCGAGCAAAATGAAGTATCCAACACTTTCCAAGATAGCTCCTGACATTTTATCGATTTCGGTGTCCTCTGTTGCACCTGATTCGATCTTTGATATCACGGAGAAGTGACTAGATGATTACCGAAGCTCCTTGCGACCAGAGACGGTGGAAGCACTAATCTGTGCCAAGGATTGGTTACATTACGGAGATTCTCAAGTTCCCAAAACGATTGTTAAAACGGAATTGTAGGTGTAGATGTTAATTCAATAGAGTACGATGGTAGTTTAGGGTATTGAACGTGTTTCACACTTATATTTGTATGATGAGAAGAATTTTATGAATGCTTAGATTAGTTTTTCCTGTTTGAAGATTTTACAGAGCAGCGAAATGGTCCAACACCAAGTAGGCTTTTTACTAAACCAGATATATGTGAACTTGTATTGAAATAAAAAAAATATATAAGACCCTAAAATATCAAAAATCGGATATCAAAACCCGCTTTACAAAATTTTGGAACACCAAAAAGGCAGTCCACTCCTTTCGTTTTAACTATTAAAATAATCACGGAATGCCTTTTTTCATAAATAATTGAACAAGGAAGCAATTTATATAAATAAATTCGGGAATGCTACAATTCAGATAAAAGAGCATTAATACTTCAACTCAGGTTGGGCTTGAAACAACAGAGGAAAACATTTCTCTTTCCTTGTCAAGTCTCTATCAAGTATTTCTCCCCGAATTCGGTCGGCTTAGGTTTTTACCTTTTTTTTTTTTATACATTTTTCTGATTTTTGCTATTCAAGCGGCAAAATAACGCTCGCCGGTTGTCCTCTTTTGCAATTTCTCAAAAACCCTTTGAGGACTCATTGCGAAAATCCCCAAATGACTTTTTTTTTTGGTTAAAAAACTATACCACATTTTGCGTGTTAGAAGAAGCTAGGTCTTTTTAATCGTTACGATTGATTTCTTTAATTTTTTTTTAAATTTCAATTTCTTATCCTGTTCGATTGGTCTGATCTGGTCATGGATTCGCGAGATTCGTTATCGCCGTCGGCTCCGAATCTGGATGGTTCCGCCGGCGACGATGTGGGAGACCTTCCCGTCACCGTCGCACTCGCTAAAGAAGCAGCTCTTCACTTCCAGTCTAGAAAGTTCGCCGAGTGCGTTAATGTGCTGAATCAGCTAAAGGTTAAGAAAGAAGGCGATCCGAAGGTAAATTATTTCAAATTATTTCGCATATGTACGCGATTGTTTCGTTAATGGATGTGATTGAACCGATGCATTTCTTAGATCTTCTCCCTTTTATTCATTTCATTCATTTTTTAAGCTAGAATTTGAAGTTCATTTTCTAATGTTTTGTGTGTAATTCTCTGACTCACTAAAACTTGATTATCAGCTGATTTCAGTTGCTGGAATTTCTTAAACCAATTAAACCTAAAACTCACATGTTGGCTTTAATGATGATCATTCTATACATTACCACCCCATAACTAGTCTAGTTATTGCCGTATGTTTCACTATATAAATCTCAATAATTCTGACTTGCTGATAATTAACTTGCTTGGGGATCATGACAATGATATATTCTTTTATGTTCCATACTACCAAATGGTTGTAAGCTCCTGCAAATGAAGTTGGATAGTTGAGTTATGCTGTTTAGTTTAATGAAAGTACAAATTCAATTTACCAACTGTGCTTAATTGAGTAAAAATGTAATCGATATACACGAAGAAGTTGGACTGTAGGGTAGTCATCAAAGATGGAATTCCTAGTTGGTTAAAGTGCTGTCGTTGTTTAATTGTTGGCTGGAGAACTATACACTGACATTTGTTAATGTGTTTGATGTGTATTATGTATCTCTTCCAGAAAGAAAATGGTTAAAATTTTATTTTCAAGTTGAGTGTTTTTGTTAGTACTAGCATGATAGGATATTTATTGTAATGCATGAGAAAAGCCAATGTTAAGGTTAAGCAGACTAGGGTAGTTGCAGTTCCTCAAGTTTTTAAGGAGTTGCTGTGTACAATGATTTGATGACCTCTTAAATTGTTCTATATCATAAATTTCAATGTTGGCTACTCATATTGTAGTAACTTTAATAAACATTCAATGAAAAGTGATGGAAATGTTAACTGGTAAGTAGTTATATATATTAAATTGAGATGCTTTTATCTTTTAAATATTTCAGGCTCCAGTGTCTAGCAATATGTTAATTTAGTAAAATTCTGTGCTATTAAAAATTAAAAATTAATGACTTTCAAAATGCATTTTTGGTTTAGAATTGCTCAAGTTATCTTTCAATTTAGGATTTTTTGAAAGATCATTTAGTTTTATCGAAGCCAAAAGCCAAGTGTTAATTCAAAAACCATACCGAGTAAAAGAATGGATAATAATTGATACAAAAAAGTGCTAGGATCTCTATAGTGCAAGATTTGATTGCTTCAAGGCTGAAATAATTGTTATACAACTTTCACACTCGACTTTATGTGTTTCCGGGATGAAACTATTGGTAGCATGGCAAAATAGTTTTGTAGTGCTAACTGGTACTTAACATGCTGTAGTGAAGTAGAATATTTGTTTATTATAGAATGCATTTTTTTAGTTTATCAAGTTTTCAGCACAAATGAGTCAGCTGCTGCAGGATTTGTCGGCATGAATGTGTTCACCAAAACTCCACTTGAATACTTTTTTACTTCTTTTATAAGTTTGTCCTTTCTGTTGATGCCATTAAATATTTTGAACTAATGGATTATTCAACAGATTTTTCATAATATTGCAATTGCGGAGTTTTTTCGGGATGGTTGCTCAGATCCAAAGAAGTTGCTTGAGGTCCTTAAGAATGTCCAGGTACGCATTATCTTATTACCTCCTGGTTTCCATGGCTGTGCACTCCCACAAATTCGTCATTATTAATCGAGTTATGTACCTTCTTTTATGAATGATTGTTCTTGCCCATTCATCAAGAAACTTGTAGTCTTGTTTTCTCCAATTGAAAAGGAAGGTCAGTGGAGCATCAACTGCTGCAGATATTAAACCAAAATTTTAAACTTTTAATTTTATCTTCTAATATTCAATTGAATCTTTTTTTGGTGCAGCAATTCTCCTCAGATTAAGTGAAAATTGTTGTATTTTTTTTTAATTGCAATCATAATTGGTCAGGCATTGGCAGCATAAACCGTAATTACAATGTGAAACAGATATTAAACCAAAATTTTAAACTTTTAATTTTATCTTCTAATATTCAATTGAATCTTTTTTTGGTGCAGCAATTCTCCTCAGATTAAGTGAAAATTGTTTGTATTTTGTTTTTTAATTGCAATCATAATTGGTCAGGCATTTGGCAGCATAAACCGTAATTACAATTGTGAAACCACTACTAGTTAGTATTTGCTCTTGGAAATGATTTGTGCATTTGATCAGATTTAATTTGTGGCAGAGACTTTTTGAGCCTGAGTTTATTTCTTGCATTTGAGTCTGTAATGAATTCATTTTCCATTTTGTAGTCACTCTAACTTGTAAAACTGTTTTTGAGTAGGAGATTTATTGTTATATGGAGAGAAAATTGCTTTGTTATGTTCACGATTTAAGTTACTCTGAGATTGTTTTATTAACATATTTTTCCCATTTCTGCTGATTCAGAAGAGATGTGAAGAGCTTGCTCATGCATCTGGGCAACAGGAGGAGTCTGGTAGAAGTTCTGGTAATAAATTTACTTCGGACTCAAAAGGAAGTGGTACAACCATACAGCAGTTTTCTTCGGATAGTGCCAGTGTTATTTACACAGACGAATTTGATACCTCTGTGGCTGCTCTAAACATAGTATGCACTTTTCTTGTAATTTTAAGAGCTCAGGAACAATAATCTTTTCATCAATAGATTGTAGTAACATTTTTCTTTTGAATTGATGTTGTAGGCAGTCATCTGGTTCCACCTTCATGAATATTCGAAGGCTTTATCAATTCTTGAACCTCTGTATCAAAACATTGAACCAATAGACGAGGTATTTTATCTTTGTATAATTGTCATTTAGTTTAGGCATTTGTTGATTTGTTTTAATCGTTTCCCTTTTATTTATATGCAGACAATAGCCCTTCATATCTGCCTTTTGTTGCTGGATGTTGTGCTTGCTTGCCATGATGCTTGGAAATCTGCCGTAAGTTCTAAATATTTGTAGTGTTATTACTTGGAGTTCCTTCCAAATTGAAAATTCCCTAATATCCATCGAAACACTTTAGAGACCATTGTAAGATGGATATGACTAACTGTAAGCTTTGTACTTGGGGGTTGAGGAAAGTAAAAAATGATAAAAAGCTAGCTTGTATGGTGATGTGTGAGTTTTCTACCTTACAATTTTGATGAGCACGCTTTTAGAGGACATTGAAGTGCTTGATTGTTAAGAATGACCACTGAGAAATGGATATGACTAACTGTTAGCCTTGTACCTTGAGGATGGAGAAAAAAATAATGATGAAAAGCTAGCTTGTGTTCAGTGACATGCGAGTTTGTCTACCTTAAAATTTTGGATAAGCTTGTTTTTAGAGGTCATGTTCATTCAATCTCACATCCTTATCACTTTGTGGTCATTGTACCTATTCCTTATTTCCATCTTACATTTTATGTAGGAAGTCAGTGAGCATTTTCTTTTGTTTAAACTTGAATACCCTAAACTGTCTGCTAATGTCTTTAGTCAATTGTAATTCAGCGTGTTCTGTGTCTTGTGATGAGGCTAGCATGAACTTATCTCAATTCATTAGAAAAAAAAAGCTTCTAACCTATATTTATTTTTTGCACCATTTATTTATGTTTGTATTAGCATGGCTTAAATAATATGCTGAATGCTCTTATTTCATTGCGTAATTTTGATGCTACTTTTAGCCTCACTTCTTTCAATTGACACTGTATTCTTAACTTTCTTTTTCCCTTGATGCTTTGGATGTCCGTAGAAAATTTGAATTGTTTTATTCCCTTGTCCCATGGAAATAGCTAAAACTCTTTCTGGATGTGAATTTAGGATTCTATGGCAGTACTGCTTTACTTTTGTTATTTAATTTGATACTTTCGTGCTAAATTTTTATTACATGGTATTGATTTTTGGATTTCTTTCACATTTGATGTTTTCATTTTCATATGGCAGTATAGCTTTGTTCAGAATTCAGATAACTCTTAACCCAGTTTGTACTCTGTACTTCAGTTCTAGTGTAATACCCCTTATGTTGCTTATTGTTTGAAAGGACTTTGTAATAAATTGGTGACAAGATGTTTTAAGATCTTGTAGGTCATACATGGTTTGGAAATGTAAATAGGAGATAATTCCTAGCATCTTCGCTGAACTTTTGAAAATGATCATTTACTCCACTGTTGGTCTATATGTTACGAGGGTTTTATCATGTTATGTTTTATTTAAAAGTAGTGTCTGTATCTTATACATTGACACTAAATAGCTTTAGTTATGTGCAGGATGTTTTAAATTATTGGAAAAAGCATTTGGCATCAGCAATGTGAGCCAAGGAGAAATTGGTAACACGGCCAATCAACAATCCACGAATCTAGTTGTAAAATCTTCCTCAGTTCCTAGCAGTCCTTTGTCTCTGATGCATCTAGTCCAGATTTAGCTGCTAGTGTAAATTCTTCTGAGAATCCTCTATCTAGAACTTTATCGGATGACCGACTGGATGAAATGTTTTCGACACTGGATATTGGTGGATATAACCTAACACGGCCTGCTGGTCTTACATCTGTAAATGATCATCCCCGGATCACAGTTGATGGATCTATCTCTGGTGTTGATTTGAAACTCAAGTTGCAACTTCACAAGGTTCGGTTTTTGCTGCTAACTAGAAATCTAAAGCTAGCAAAGCGTGAAGTCAAGCATGCTATGAACATTGCTCGAGGTAGAGATTCATCTATGGCCCTCCTCTTGAAGGCTCAGCTTGAGTATACTCGTGGAAACTATCGAAAAGCCATCAAGTTGTTGATGGTGTCAAATAATCGGACAGATGCAGCAATTTCAAGCATGTTTAAGAACAATCTAGGCTGCATTTACTATAAACTTGGGAAGTATAATTCGTCTGCAGTTTTCTTTTCCAAGGCACTCGGTATTTGTTCATCTCTTCAAAAGGAGAAGCCTTTAAAGCTATTAACATTCTCACAGGATAAATCCCTCCTCATAGCATATAACTGTGGGTTGCAGTACTTGGCATGTGGGAAACCAATACTTGCTGCTCGTTGTTTCCAGAAGGCATGCTTAATTTTCTACAGAAGACCTGTCTTGTGGCTTCGGCTCGCTGAATGTTGTATAATGGCTGTAGAGAAAGGGCTTGTGAAAGGAAGTCAAACTCCATCAGACAGATCAGAAATTAGAGTCAATGTTATTGGCAAGGGTAGGTGGAGGAAACTTCTAATTGACTATGGGACTTCAAGAAGTGGACATGTAGATTCTGTTGAAAAGAATGATTGGGCTTTAGGCAGTGATGGGCAGCCTAAGCTTTCATTACCCCTTGCTAGGCAATGTCTCTATAACGCACTGCACTTGCTGAACTGTTCTGAATGGAGTAATTCTAAATCTGTCTTACCCTCCAATTCATCCTTGGAGGAGAGTGAATCGAGCAGTGGAACATCTTCCAAGAACCCAATCCATAAGAAGTTACCCAGCATCAATTCCTTGGCTTCAACCATATTAGCTGGTTCGGTTAACTCAAATGGAGATTTGAAAGAGACGAAGGGAGGAGCTAATAACGAGATTCTTCAGAACTCTGTCTCCTATTATGAAGACATCCGCAGAAGAGAAAATCAGATGATTAAGCAAGCTCTTCTAGCTAACCTGGCATATGTAGAGTTAGAACTGGATAATCCTTTGAAGGCCCTCTCTGCCGCACTATCGCTGTTAGAATTACCAGGTTGTTCAAGAATTACATTTTCTAGGCCATGTCTATGCGGCAGAGTCACTCTGCTTACTGAACAAACCTAAGGAAGCTGCAGAGCGTTTGGCCATTTATTTGTCTGGGGGCAACAACGTTGAATCGCCGTTTAGTCAAGAGGACTGTGAGCTGTGGCAAGTGGAAAAACCTGTCGATTGTGAAGAACCTAGTGGAGGAGCACCAGCAGCTGCCAAGAATCCTTCTCATGAGGGTTTGCGGGTATACAAGTTTCTGAAGCCAGAAGAGGCACGTGGAACAATTTACGCAAATCTTGCCGCTGTGTCTGCAATACAAGGTGAACTTGAGCTGGCTCACCATTTTGTGACACAAGCGTTGTCCCTAGTTCCAAACAGTAGCGAAGCCACTATGACCGCAATTTATGTCGATCTCATGCTGGGTAAGTCAGAAGAAGCTCTTTCCAAGTTAAAACATTGTAGTCATGTCAGATTCCTACCCAGCAGTCTACAGTTGAATAAATCCTCCTAATTGTTGTGTGGGTGGTTTCCAATATGACCCGGAGTAGGCCACCGCACAGTTGGTAGTTAGCCAGATAGATCAACAATCCTTTTAGAGGATTTGTATCATATATGATATTATAGTTCAATTCAGATAATACGTTTTCAGCTTCCTTCATTTTTCCACACGTAGGGTTCATTTATCAATGGTGAGGCTGATTGTCCAAGCCTGTGAATTTGAGATCATGTAGTGTCGATTCAGGCTTTATATTGTCTTCAAGTGGATAATCCCCTCTGGTATTTGAAGAATAGAGAGATTTAAACGGCATAGATTTTGTTCATTTTGGATTTAAAATCCAACCCATTCCTTCCAATGGGTTGTTGCTCTGCCTTTCGGTTTATCCCTCTACTTTATAAAAACCGGCGATTTTTCTTATATTTTAAAATCTGATTATATAATCTCAATTATTATATTTCAGTTAGCATATTAACGTTTAGTTCAAATGACTGTTAATTTTTTAATGAGAAATGACGAATGGTTAGATGATAATTTTATAATTTTTAATAGTCGAAAAATTTAATAAAATAATAACTTATAATCGGAAGATTATTTTGGTCTTAAGGGTCACTTTAGCATTTGTATTAAGCTCAACTTATCAATTTCGCCCATATTATTTTTTTTTGCATTAATTTGGTCTTTGAAGTTGTTTACGGTATTCATCCTAGCCCTTGAAGTCCTTTGGTTGTTTTGAATAACAAAATTGTGGGTCTTTTGTGTCCGTGGATTAAGAGATTAAGTTAACATATGTATTAAACACAATGATTAGAATAAACCCCAAAATTTTATTATTTATTTCAGCGAGATTGAAGGATTAAGTCAAATTTTTGGGGATCATTGTATTAAGTAAATAATTTATTATTAATTTCTTTAATACATGTCACGTTATCATCAGACAGTCAGTAATATTGGTTGATCTTAAAATTGTTGGTGTTGATAAATGTAGAAGATTAATAATTATGTTAGTCAAAATGGACTTGGAGGGTTAGGATGAACACCCTAAACAACTTAGAGGGTCAAATTGATGCAAAAAATGATATGAGCGAAATTGATAAATTGAGTTTATTACAGGGGTAAAAGTAACCCTTAAACCATTATTTTATAACTTTTAATAGTCAGGAGATTCAGTAAAGTAACGTGTTATAGTTAAGGGCTATTTATATACTTTATCCTAAATTTTACTAAGTTAATAATATGACATATACTATCATGAGATTATATTGAAGATGTTTATTAAGAAATGTAAAAAAAAAGACAATTTGATAACTGAAGATAAATCTACAACTTGAGCATAATACGTAAACTAATTATAGAATATAATTTAACATATTTTACTTCATTACAATAAATAATGTATAAAGTTTATTTGACCCATTCATTTTGGTTTAGATCAATTGTCTATTTGAGTAGTTTTCTATCATTGAATTCAAAGCGGTTGATTCATCCAAATAAATAATGTCAACTTCAGCAGCACAAACAAAAAAAAAAACACTTAAAAAACCAAATTATAAACCACGTTTTCCAGTTTTGTCAAGCAAACATGTTATCCACTAATGGTCCATATATCTTCTCAACTCGTTGGAGCAGAACTTCAGCAACTATTTGGAGTGCAACACCTGCATGTTATATTCGAAACTCTCTACCACAAAGTTTATGCTTCTTCCCTATCGGTAGAGTTCGGGCTATCCGCCCGTTTAATCGCGGGTTTTGGCGGTGCGGGCTTAAACAGAGCAGACTAAAAAGCCCGCATTCATAAACGGTTTTGAATTTTAAGGTCTGCGGCCCGTCCATTTAACCCGTGGGCTTAATGGGCTTACACGCGGCCCGTTAAATAACAATAATTTTAAATTCTTTAAATGCAATAAAAAATAATGTTCTAACTTGCTACACCTTAAAAATGATCCAGCAACTTGAAAAAGAAAGTCGTACGTCAAATAATAATAATATTTAAATTTTATTTTAAATAGTCAGAAATGATTATAAAATAACAATTTTTTAATTTTTTTAATCATTAATATATATATATATATATATATATATATAACGATATAATTACTTAAACTCAAATTTAAAAAAAAAGAATATTCACTTATATCACCAAATTGAAAAACAAATAAAACAATAATACATTATACTTTTATAAAACACGATTATTCAAGGCTATAATATGAAGACACAGAAGTGTCTGCAAGAAGAAATTCAAACATAAAAATTCAACAAAGTCAAACATTATACAAATCTAACAAGAAAGTTGTCAAGTGGTCCTAATAATTGTATTTTATGGATACTTTAGAGAAAGACTAAAACATAATATGAAAATATAAAATAAAATACTTACAGTATAAGAGTAAATTTGAAAGATATGTTTATATTAAATTGATAAATATAAGTCATTAATTTGTTAAAATATATTATTTTGTAAAAGCCTTTAAAAGTTGAAAAGTATGTTTTTAATTTTTCTTTTACTTTTTTTTCTTATTTGTAATCCAATATTACGTGTCATGTGATATATTATTAGAATATCATGTGACTTTTATAATTAAAGAACGAAATGAATAACATACTTCATGAAAAAAATAAAGGTCAAAATTAAATAATAAAAAAATCTTTAAATACCAAAGTGATGATGTAAATTTAATAAGACTAAAATACTATATAAATATTTTATTTTTTATTTTTTAAAATGAAGAATAATTTGATTCATTGTAAATGAAAAAAAATATCAAACAGTGGTAGAATTATGACAAACACCCTAATAAATTTAAGAACTACAATGGTTATAAGTAATATCATAGGTAATTTTTTTTCTTTTTCTATAAAATTTTTTAAGTTTATTTTCTCTAAAATTTTATAAATTTTAAATTAAGCGGGCTTCGCGGGCTACCCGCGGTTATACCCATTAAACCCGCGGGTTTAACGGTCCGGGCTAAAAAAACCCGCAATTTAAATGAGCTTAAGTTTTTTAGGCCCGAAGCCCGCACGGGCCACGGGTTAAACAGGTAGCCCGCGGGCTTTAGCCCATATACCCAGCTCTACCTATCGGTTAAGCTCTCTGAAGAAAGAAACTCTCTCAATAGGAGAGTATACCACACACAGACCCGTTCAATGACCAGTTTAAAATGTAATCAAGACCTTAAAATTTGGAGTCCCACACATGAATGACATTTAGGCTCATCTATGTATAACACAACTAAGATTTTGACGATATCTTTAATCATTTTTTATGACGAGTTTTAGTGAAAAAAATCTTATAAATCCCTAATAATTTCAAATTTGACAAATTAATCTTTGTTATAAAATATTTTAAGTGCCTCATTTTAGAAGTAACAGAGAGTCTTCACATCGTTTGGGACGAGCCTGACCACAAAGAAAGAAGATTTGTGATCTCCGTGTCATGGGAAATCCAGTTTCTGAATAGGTATGATCTTGAACGGTAGTCTTAACTCTTAATATCTTCAGAATACGTTTCCATTCATAAACCTGCCTTTAAGGCTGTTATATAAGGAAGAATATTGAATCATTGAAAAAATGATTTTAACACTCTGGGATACAATTGTTATATACAACACTTTGCACCAGAAACACGTGCACTATAGTCACTTAACCACCTAACCACTGCTACATCAGCTTAACAGACTGGAAGTAACCACACCTCTTAACTTCACTCTAACAAAGGCTTAAGCTTAGACATTATATTTTACAATCAACGCTCTAGCTGAAGTGTTCCCTTCTCTCAGTTCTAACACAACTCAATTGTACGCATTAAACTCAAGCAGGGCGTGTGGTGATTGGATTCATCAATCTCATCACAGATTTTCTCAGATACTTGATCAATATGAATACGACTCGAATGGTGTGTCCAAGGAGGAGAATGAGCATCAAGTCCATCCAAACCAGCGTAGCGATTCCTAATATAGTGATCAGCAAAGAGTTTTGATGATCAGGTGTTAATGCTACGAAACATTCCAGATATGCTAATGCAATCGCGGTAATGGAAATCCACATGATGACCATTAAAACCCACATTAAAGAACCGACGCCGCTACGACATTCCACTTGTAAGCAACAGGATGATGCTGAGAGACGCCAAGAAACCCATTGTATTCCATGCGATGAATAACGTATATACTCGTGGATGATTATCTGCCAATATAGAAAACCCCGCCGTGTGATTTTTACAGTTCGATTCTGTCGATGAGAAACCACTGGGGACATTATCTTGCCAAATACCACTGGGAGGATTGACGCATGCTTGGAATGCCATGGCGGAGAGCAGGGAAGCCACCAGAATTATGATGTTGCGTTTTCTTTCTATCCAATCACCATTCTTAATTTTAACTGACCTCTTTCCATTTTTCTCTTCTTTGATTTTGATGTGCGTTTGACTGATCATCCCATGCGGAGGACAACATTTTGGTCCTATTGCCTTGAGTTGAAAATTTGACAGAGGTTGTCTTGTGCATGTGTAGCTTCCGTCCTCCTAAGTGATTCCACAATCTCCTTATCAATCACACCTCTTGGCTTTCTGTTAAAAGATGATTTTGATGTTGCGTTTGACTGATCATCCCATGCGGAGGACAACATTTTGGTCTTTCTGTTAAAGATCGAGTGCCTTGAAACCATCTTCATTAACACAATCCGTACATCAGTTGTTGTATTAGAAATCAAGAAGTCTATGGCCTGCATTGTAGATTATCATTCTACTATTACATCAGCTCATGAAAATTTGATTGTTATTTTTAGTTAAAATCGCACTAATTTATTTAAAAGAAGAAAGATGAAATTTAATTTAAAAGTTAATAAGGATTAAGTTTAAAATTAGGGTAAACTATAAAAATAGTACCCGAACTTTTATGGCACTTGAATTTGTCACTCAACTTTTGAAACTTACAATAACTAACCAGCTCTTCTTTTTCTTCTTGTTGCCCTTTCTCTTCTCATCTCAATTTCCTTCAAAATCAGCTTCCTTTGTTTTATGGGT